CCCCAAAACCCCAAAACCCCAAAACCCCAAAACCCCAATGAGCTCAATTTAAGTCTATGAGGTTTTTAAAAGTAATGTAAATTAATTGAAAATGATCATTGATTTCGTTGAGTTTTTTTATACATAAGTATTATTGATATATTTATCTATCTTTCATTTCATTTACTTAGCTATGACATTCTATCAGGAGTCATTTCAATCTTGCATCATTGAGGGAATATCAGAGTCCTTATCACTGAGAGGGCCCTAATCAGAAAATCTTTTGTAATCTTAAAGTTTTTTAAGTCTAAATTTGCTTCCAGTTTGTGACATATTAGTAACTTCTAATTTTTTTGGTTTCGAACTGTACAAAAGGTTATAATTAATTGCATCTCTATTAGACTGAACTGAAAATCTACCAAAGTTGTTACTAAAAATATTGCTCTTTGGACCATGGGTATGAGATTCCCGAGCAGTACTTCCAAACTTGAAGTAAGTTGTCCTCGCAGCTGTAGTATTAGCTTCTTTTTCAAATTGGGATTTATCTCTTCCTTCTTTCATTTAATTGAAAGATTCCATAAGTCTATTGGTAACTGCAGCTGATTGTGGACTTGATGGTACAGAGACTACCATCTTATGTCTAAACGTATTTTAGGTAGTTTATGCAGGCTCATATAGAGGAAACCTATTTCTAATTCCCCGTTCCTGATTGAGCTTTGCATTGTTGATGAATTCATCATAATAGCTTAAATTTTCTCTAAACACCTTAAGGTCAAAGACATTTTTATTAGGATATGATTTGTTAATTGTATTCTGCCGGGACATTTGCGATGCATCTCCTGGACTTTGATTATAATCCTCTAGGCTTTTAAGATTTGTGTCTCTTGACTCTTGTAGTTGCTTTAAATTTGATATCACTTCATCTACCTAAGTAGAATATTCAACTCTTTACTTGAGTCCCTCGTTTGAAAGCATCATACCTCTAGCTTCATTGAGTCTTTTAATAGCACTTTTTCTTCTTTATTTCAAAAGAGCACTCTGTATTCTTGCCTTCTCCCGTTCTTCTGCTAAGGCCTTGCTTAAATGAAAGGTCTGCTTCTTTTCAGAATAGATGAATTTAGCCAAGAGCTTTTTCTTTGCTGAAGGTGAATTACTTGATTCTCTAATGTCTAAAGTCAATAATGATTAATCAATAGGGCTCTATTCATATTAAGGGGGATCTTCAGTTTCATCTTAATAATATTGTACAGAAGCTGGTTGAGATCCATACCTGCTTCTATTATGAAAGGAGTTCATCGGGGAAAATAATTTGAGCATTTCATTAAGTTTATTAGTCTATCTATAGGAGATGTCAAGGACATTTTGTAATTTGCTGTTTTAATTTAATTTTGACAGCTTTTATTGTTAGTAAATACTGTTCGAATCGTAGACAAATCTGTTTATAAGTTTCATTCCGTCTGCAAATTTCAACATTTTTGGGTTGATTTCGAAAAATTGCCGGATTTTATCCTCATCCTCTTTTCTTTAGGCTGTACTATATATGCCCTCCAAATTTACCTTCCTAAGTCGGAGGGGGATTTTTTTATCATCTTCTTATTACTATTAAGGAGAGAGAAGAATTTATTAATTTTTTTGAGATCCCCCTTTATTTCGAAAACTATTTTACTTTGGCAAAGGACTTTTTGTGTGAGAGTCTCTTCTATATAGAAGTGGACGGGGTTGTAGTCTTGTTTAGCTTTAGGCTGCTTAAGCCGAAGAGTCGAAATCTGATTACTTGCTATTTACTCTGTTTAGTTATTAATTTGGAGTTTGAGCTCCAGCTCCAGATCCTTTAAATAAATACTTTCTATCAGCTGAAGGTATTGGAATTGTACCTTCTTGCTAGTGATTAAAGGGAATAGTCTGAATCCCTCCAAGACCACCACCCATTTTACCTACAACCTAGTTCACTAATATTCCAATTTTTTTATTGACCTTTAGCATTCCAAACTTATTTCTTATTGTTTCAGGATTCATAGCAGATAAGTTGAATTATGCTCGCTATTAATTTTATATTGGTTGTTCCCCATCTGGGTTAAAAAGCTGAATATGAGAATCATCTAACTTGGAGCTTAGCATATATTCACTGCTGATCTCCTCTGACTTAAAACTAGTCATCCCATCTTCTTGAGACTTGGCAGCTACCAAATACTAAGATGGCTTGGTGAGCAGATTATTTGATTTTGCTCCTGCTTTAAGTTCACTCATTTTAGGTATTTATAGCTGATCTGTTAACTCTATTTAATTAATTTCTAAAATAATTCATAAAAAATTATTACCTTTTTTTGAAATCACTATTTCTGTCCTTAATTTTCAGAGCGGGGTTTTGGGGTTTTGGGGTTTTGGGG